TTTTCTAATTCTTCTTTTGATTTTGTGTTTGATCCATGGGTTATTTGTGTGTTACTTAATTTCAAAATATTTGGAATTTTCTAGATATCTTTCTGTCACTGATTTTACTTAATTCCTACTGTAGTCAAAAACATACTTTGAATGACTTGAATCCTTTTAAGTTTATTGAGATGTATTTATGGCTCAGAATAGGGTCTATCTAGTTAAATGTCCCTTTTGTACTTGAAAAGGATATTCTGCTGTGGTTGGGTGGAGTGTTTTATGGTTATCAGTTAGGTCAAGTTAATTCATTGTGTTATTTAAGACTTCCATAGAAGTCTGATTACTGATTTTCTATCTACTTGTTCTACCAATTGTTAATAGAAGTATACTGAAATCTCCAAATATAATAGGGGATTTGTCTACTTCTCCTTATAATTCCATCAGTTTTTTTCGTTTCTTTTAGAGTTCTCTCAAGGGACACCTGGGTGGCTAAGCAGTTAAGCGTCTGTCTTCAGCTCAGGATGTGACCCTGGAGTTCCGGGATCGGGATGAGTCGCACAACAGGCTCCCTGCATGGATTTTTAAAGATTTTATTTATTTATTCATGAGAGACAGAGAGAGAGAGGCAGAGACATAGGCAGAGTTGGAGAAGCAGGCTCCATGCAGGGAGCCTGATGTGGGACTCCATCCTGGGTCTCCAGGATCAGGCTCTGGGCTGAAGGCGGCACTATACCGCTGAGCCACCCGGGCTGCCCAATATAAATAAAATCTTTAAAAAAAAATAAAGTTCTCTCAAAAGTTTCATGAATGCTTGGGGCTATTATTTTCATTACATTATACTGTATTCATCATTATGAAATGACCCTCTCTATCCCTAGTAATATTCTTTGCTCTGAAATCTACTTTATAGCCTCTTCAAGTGCTTCTTTTTTTAAGCTTATTTTTAAGTAATCTCTACACCCAACATGGGGTTCAAACTTAAAATCCTGATATCAAGAGTTGCATGCTCTACCAGCTGAACCAGCCAGGTACCCTTCTTAGTGCTCTTTTGATTAGTGATATACCATGGTATATATCTTAAGCATGGTATTATCTTTTTCCATCTTTTACTTGTTGAATCTATTTCTGTCTTTATTTGTTTAATTATTTTTTTAATTGAAGTTCGATTTCCCAACATACAGTATAACACCCAGTCTTTATTTTAAAGTGGGATTCTTATAGGCAGCATATAGTTGGCTCTTGCTTTTACTTAATCTAACAATCTCTGCCTTTTCATGTAAATTGTTGTAAAGGCCCTTTACATTTAATATAACTGATATAGCTGAATTTACATATATTATCTTGCTAATTGTTTTCTATTTGTCTCATCTGTACTTTGTTCTTTCTTTTTCTGCCCTCTTTTTGATTATTTTAAAAAATAATATGCCCTCTGCCCGATAGGTATAGCCTCTCCTATTATCAACATCCCCCATCCAAATGGTACATTTGTTACAAACAACAAACCTTCATTGACACATCATTATCATTCAAAGTCCATAGTTTACATTAGAGTTTACTTAGTGTTGTATGTTCTATGGCTTTGAGCAAATGTATAATGACATGTATCCACTATTACAGAATCAGAGTAGTTTCACAGCCCTAAAAGTCCTCTGTGCTTTGTATATTAATTCCTCCTTTTCCTCTAACTCCTGGAAACCACTGAGTTTTTTTTATTGTCTCCATAGTTTTGCCTTTTCTAGAATATCATATGCTTGGAATCATTAAGTGTGTAACCTTTTCATATTGACTTCTTTTATTTAATAACATGCCTTCAAGCTTCCTCTGTGTGTTTTCATGGCTTGATAGCTCATTATTTCTTAGTGCAAAATAAAATTCCATTGTCTGGATGTGCCAAAGTTTATTTATCCATTCACCTGCTGAAGGACATCTTGGTTGCTGCCAAGTTTGGCAATTATTAAGAAAGCTGCTATAAACGTCTGTGTTCATGTTTCCATGTGAACACAAGTGTTAACTCCTTTGGATAAATACCAAGGAGCATGATTATTGATCACATGGTAAGAGTATGTTTAGTTTTTTAAGAAACTACCAAACTCTTCCAAAGTAGTTGTATCATCTTGCATTCCTATCAGCAATGAATGAGAGTTCCTATTGTTCCACATTTTTGCCAGCATTTGGTGGTGTTAGTGTTCTGGATTTTGGTCATTGATCGAGGGATCTTATTGTTTTAATTTGAATTTCTCTGATGGCATATGATGTGGAGCATCTTTTCATGTGCTTATTTGTCATCTTATGTCTTCTTTGGTGAGGTGTCTGTTAAGGTCTTGGCCTGTTTTAAATTTTTTTTTTTTATTGTGAGTTTTTGGATAGTGGTCCTTTAACCATATGTGTCTTTTGAGTTGAATACTTTTTATGACTCCATTTTATCTCCTTTCGTGGCTCAATACCTGTATTATTGTATTATTTCTGATGGTTCCTTTCATCTTTAACTTACCAGTCTACCTTCAGGTAATATTACACCACTCCACAGTATAAGTCCTTACAACAATATATTTCCACTTCTCTCCTCCTGGTTTTTGTGCTGTTGTTGTCGTCATACATTTTACTTTACCATAGCTTATAAACCTCATAATACATTATTGCTATTTTTGCTTTAAAGGGTTAATTATGTATTAAAGAGATTTAAGTAATAAATTTTATATTTATCCATGTAGTCACCATTTTCAGTACTCTTCATTCCTTTCTATAGAATCAGGTTTCCAGATGGTATCACTTTTCTTCTGTTTGAAGGACTTCCTTTACATTTCTCATCTGAATTCTTTTAATTCTTGTATGTCAGAATAAGTCCTTATTGCATTGTTTTTTTTTACTTTATTTATTTTTAATATTTATTTATTCATAAGAGAGAGAGAGAGGCAGAGGGAGAAGCAGACTCCTGGCAGGGAGCCCGATGACGGACTCTATCCCAGGACCCAGGGATCACGCCCTGAGCTAAAGGCAAATGCTCAACCACTGAGCCACCCAGGAGTGCTTCATCATTTTTCTTTTAAAGTTATTCTTGTTAGGTAAAGAATCCTAGTTTGAAGGTTTTTTCTTCAGTACTGTAAAGATGTTGCTCCATTTTCTTCTAGCTTATACTGTTTCTGATGAGAAATTTTCTGTAATCCTTATCTTTGTTTCCTTGTAAATAGCTTTCCCCAACAATTTGTTTTCAAGATTTTTTCTTTATCACTGGTTTTAACCAATTTAATTATGATGTGTCTTGGTGCAGTTTTGTTTTATGGGCTTGGTGTCTAAGATTCTTAGATCTGTGCATTTATAGATTCCATCAAATTTGGAAAAATTTCAGCCATTATTCCTCCAAATATATTTTCTGCCTCCATTTTTTCTTCAGATTCCCCAATTATACATATATTTAGGCTACCTGAAGCTGTCCGATAAGTCACAGATATTCTATGCTTTATTATCATTATTTGGAAAGAAATCTTACCCTTTTAATTAAATTTTTTTGAGAGGTAGAGATAACAAGCACATGTGCAAGCAGGGGGTGGGGAGGTAGAAGGGAGAGGGAGAGAATCTTAACCAGACTCTGCACTAAGCATGGAGCCCAATGCAGGGTTCAATCTCATGACCCTGATATCACAACCTGAGCTGAAATCAAGAGTCAGATGCTTAACTGACCAAGCTACCCAGGGGCCCCTATTATTTTTTTTAAAGGTTTTATTCATTTATTCATGAGAGACACAGAGAGAAGCAAGACATAGGCAGAGTGAGAAGCAGGCTCCCTGCAGTGAGCCCGATATGAGACTTGATCCCTGGACCCCGGGATCACATCCTGAGCCAAAGGCAGATGCTCAACCACTGAGGCACCCAGGCATCCCAATAACTATTTTAGATCTATTTCATTTCAAAGTTTTTCTATTGTTATGTGTTTCTCCTTAGGTGTCCAATGGGCCATTCATATGATCCAGTCTAATTTCCACCTCAGAGACATCATAATTTTCAGTTAGTTTTGGGTCTTTTTTTTTATACCTTCCACATATCTACTTAATATGTTCAGTCTTTCTTCTAGGACATATGGAATACAGTTATAATAATAACTCTTTTATTGTCTTTGTCTACTAATTCTATCTTCTGTGTCAGTTCTGGATCAGTTTTGATTTAATAATTTTTTTTAATTTTTATTTATTTATGATAGTCACAGAGAGAGAGGCAGAGACACAGGCAGAGGGAGAAGCAGGCTCCATGCACTGGGAGCCTGACGTGGGATTCGATCCCGGGTCTTCAGGATCGCGCCCTGGGCCAAAGGCAGGCGCCAAACTGCTGCGCCACCCAGGGATCCCTGATTCAATAATTAATCAACTGATTAAGTTTTCTCTTCACTGTGGGTTGTATAGTCCTGCTTCTCAGCATACCTGTTAATACTGATTGGATGCAAAGCACTGTGAGTATTACCTTGGTGGTTGCTGGATATTTCTAATACTTCTATAAATATTCTTGACCTTTGTTTTGTGATGCTATTGAATTACTTGGAAACAACTTGATCTATGTCTTGCTTCTGTTTTTAAGCAGAGGAGTGTTTAGTTGGCAGAGGTTTAATTTTTCTCCATTCCCAAGGCAAGTCTCTTCTTAGTATCCTACCTGATGCTCCATAAAGTACAAACCTTTCCTCTCTAGTTGATAGAAATATTTTATTCAAACCTCCAACAATCACTTTAGGTATGCATTATTCCTATTTTACTGATAAAGAAACTAAGGCTTAGAAAGATTAAATAGCTTCCACAATACCACACAACTAATTAGTGGCAGGAATGGAATTCGAGCAACATCTAGCCATGCTTTTGACCTCTGTGTAATACTATATTCTATAAAATTTTCTTAAACCACAGTCTTTCTTGCTGAAAAACTAATCTCAGATTGTGCAATCTAAAGTACCTGCACCTAAACACCCTGTATACAGAGTTCTCACACATCAATATGGAAGATTTCCACCAAAGTACTGATTAATACTTTATACTTACCTGCTTCATCTCACATGAGCAGCAGGGAAGATATCGATGCCAGGTGATCTCATGAAATGATTTATTCAGTTTGGTCCCAAACTCTTGAGTGTCAGCTGCCTAGAATGGGCCAGAGATGGAACATGCTGAATTCCAGTACTGGCAACCAAAAGGAGGGTATCCACAGGATACGAGAAGAGGATGAGACAAATAGGAAGGCAACCCACTGACATCCTTCATATATTGTATTAGGAGTTTCCTTAATTCCTATGGATACAGGAGAAGTAGAGAGTAGGTCTGGGATACTTGGCATGAGACAGGTAGTTGTAGCTCCTATGTCTTCCAATTTCTGTTACTTAAGCAAGATCTTTCACCTAAGGCCTTTGTTCTCTTATCTCTATAGGAAATATATATTCCAGAGATCCATCTGTTCATAAAGGGGTTATATAAATTTCTTTCTTCTAAAACAAGTTCCAAGAGAGCAGAGGTTCCGCTATATTCAACTAAGGCTGATATAAGAACTTTTCCTCAGAAGTCTTTTAGGGAAGAAAGGAAGAAGATAATATCATCCATAGGAATGGGTAATAACCTCTACTTTTTAGTATAGAATAACAGGATATTAGAGTTTAAGGGGACAAGAGTAATCATCTAATACAACATACTAATTATATAGATGAGAAAACTGAAATCCAAAAAGAAGAAATGACCCATCTAAGATCTCATGGCTTGTTAATACAAGTTAGGGCTGACCTTAGGAATGCGAACACAGCATTCTTATTGACCCTGTGCTATCCACATTATCCAAAAAGCTGAAGCTGTAGGATGCACTAGATTATAAAGATGTTATACTCTTAGACCTAGTAATTCCACTTATAGAGATTTACTCTGGGAAATAATTCAGAAGAGGCAAGTTATCACACAGAGGTATTAACTGCAATATTATTTATAATGGCAAAAAGAATATAAGCAACTTAAATGCCTATCATTAGGGAAATGATTCATTAAATTAGATTAAACCAGTGCAGTGGAATTAGGTAACTAATACAAATTCTAAGACAGTTGAAATGGCAGGGAAATGTCAAATTATATATGAATATAGAATATTTTGGTTACAACTATCCAACATAACTTATATGAGATAATATGCAAAAATTTTAAATTACAGTGATAAATATTAGCTATTTTAAATTTTGAATGTATCATACTATTTTTCAAGAAAAAAGTACAAAAAAAATAAAGCAAAAGATATGGAATGAATGGGTCACCCCACTGATAATACCAACTGGTCAGCACACATTCCTTAAAGGTAAGAAAGAAACTAATATTTATTCAGTACCTACCATGTGCTATGCATGTTCACACTTAGCCTTCACCCTTGTAATAACCCTCTGAAGTACTATTATTTTTTCCAATGTATAGATGAAGCTCAGAGAAATTAAGTACAGGCTTGAGTCCACATAGCCAGTAAGTAAATAAGCCAAGAATTGAACTTAGGTCTTTGATCTCAATTGTTACACTATTCCATACTGCCAAATATGTGTAATACATAAGGCTACTCAGTTACTTCCAATGTTTTCTGTCACCATGAGGTAACAAAACATTCTTCAACAGAGAACTGGGAATCACTGATCTAGTCTTAGCTCTAACTGTAACTAGCTTTGTGACCTAAAGCAAGTAGAAATTTTAGGTAACTTATTTTCTCATTTATAAAATAGTATACATATACTATCCATTCAATAAATATTTCTTAAAAGGCCACAGGCCTATACTATGTAGGATCACAGTATGAGAAAATGAAATAATGTTTCTAAAAACTCTGAACATATTCCTATGATAGGTAGTATAATATCATTAAAATTCTGGCAGTATTAAGCAGCCCCAATTTCCTACTAACTTGAAGAGTCTGGAGACAGATCTTTCGGAAGCTACTGCTGGTGCTTCCAGTCACGATACTCATGATGGAATTTACAGCCACTGAGAGTGAGGCCTGCAATTTCTGATGATCCTAAGAAATATAACAAGTAAGGAGAGATGACTGTTTATAATAATCCCAAACTGCTGGTTCAGAGAATCCCAAAGGAATTAAAGATTTCAATAGGAGCAGAATTTCAACAACTCTTCCCCCTCTATCAACAATACTTAGTGAGATCACACCATATAAAGGACAACTTTACTCTCTTAGTGTGGTTGTTATTTCCCTGAAAAGGGGGCCATATGAAGTTAAGCAATATGTTGCCAAAAGTACACAGGACAGAAGAAATCAGAAAGTCATATAGGAAGAGAAAGTGATGTTAGAAAGCATTAGGAAATGAGGGAAGAATGTAAGATTTAGTGAAGCAGTAGTTCCAGAAGTATATGTGGGAAGGGAAAATAGACAGATAAGGAAGAGGCTCATTATTAGTCATTTTTCTATATTATTTTGTCCCCATTTACTCAAATTCATCTATTAGGAGATAAGACTGGTTACATATCCTAAGTTAAAGCTTGAGTTCCTAGGCAAGAGGCAGTGTAAGGATCAGCCAAGGTGACAAAAGAGGAAGAGGCATTAAGGGAGGGCTCTTAGGCTTTGTCATATTCTCTAGTTCTTTTTTCTTAGAGACAGTAGGAGAAAACAAGTAATGAATCTCTTATTACCTTAGCCTGGTAATGTTGCTCCAAGGCCTGGTCCACAGCAACCTGGATGGAATCTTGCACTACACTGTGGCTCTCTGTGAGGATGGTACTGAGATGAGCAGTGAGCAACGTGTAGACTCCTAAGGGAAGGAAAAATATTGGTAACCTTGAATGAGAATGGCCACTTCAAGACTGCTGTTATGTGCTATGAGTCAAAGTCTCTAGGAACAAGAGGCCACTTTTGCCTATTCACAAATAATTACTTTTTTAGATGATAACAAAACCAAAACCACTAACCCAGCAACTTTCAAACCCACCAAGTTCCACTTACAAATGAAAGAAAGCTTCGAAAATTAATGTGAAGGTTGACATTATTTTTGAAGAAACAAGCAAGGGATCTTGTTTAATTCATATCAGAAACAGAGATATATACCACATACTATAAAAAATGATACTGGTGACTCTCAAAGGATAGGAGAAGGAGGAAGACGAAAAGCCTCCTGGAGAGTGTGTTTATCCATTCCTGTGTGAGCATCACTGTTGTGATGAGCCACTGTTATCATTAAGGTCTCAATCCTTTCATGTATGCTGTGATACAGAAAAAGTTAACACTCACAAAGATGACTCTGAGACTGCTTGTATAAGGTCTTTTAAAATGGGGGCTATTTCTGTAAAGTAACCATAGGCACCACTGCTCAGCAGAAAAGCTAACAGGTAAGAGTGATAGGCAAAATATGTCATCTAACAATAGGCTAGCACTGATGACCCAGAGGCAACAGACATAGGAAGACAATTTCACTTTATACTTGAGAAAATATTTTTCTTTCTTTTTTTTTTTAAAGGTTTTATTTATTTATTCATGAGAGATACAGAGAGAGAGAGGCAGAGACACAGGCAGAGGGAAAGGCTCCCGTGCAGGCTCCCGTGCAGGGAGCCTGATGTGGGACTCGATCCCGGGACTCCAGTATCATGCCCTGCACCGAAGGCAGGCGCTCAACTGCTGAGCCACCCAGGGATCCCAAGAAAATATTTAATTAACTCTTCCTTTTTCAGTGTTTTTTTCTATTCTCTCCTGCATAGTCTGTTCAAAGGCACTATGGTGAAGCAGCCTACAGCTGGCTGGTTTTCTCAGGGCTGCATTAAAAATGCAAACCAGAAGGTACCTTTTCTACCCCAAGGCACCATGATGCTTTCCCAGAAAGGAATGTAAAATGTGGTCTACTCAAAGGGGTCTGAAGAACATAGATTCTAGAGTGAATTCTACCACTTATTGGTGACCAAGTCCCCTCACTTTTCTCACTTCAAAACTAAAATTGGCTTTATACCACCTGTTCTAACAGGCATGTCATGCAGACAAACTGAGATAGTATCTATGAAGTGTTTTGAAATGTATATTGCAATATTCGAAGGGAAAATATCACTATTGCTATGATGCTATCATATGGATTACCGTTTTCTATAGTCTGGTGCTAAGAATAGCTTCAAGAAATCAGTTAGACCCCTTTAGAAAGCAGACATTTAATTAAAAAGCTACAAGTTTGTTCCCCTAAAACTGCTGATACTACCAGATGCCTTTAACGTTGTAGCAAAATAATGAGTTAATCATAGAAAAGTTACCATGACAAGGTGGGCAGGAGGCCAGTTAAGCGATTTTTTTAAGACACATGGAAACAGACTGTAGTTCTGCACAATCTGTTTCCTAAAAGTAGCTCTAGAGAAAGCTTTCAAGGATATGAGAAAGGATAAGGGAAAAAAAGATAAAATTACTGTATCTCTAACCATATATTTATATCTACCTACCTTTACCATACATCCTTTTTCAAAGGCTAGTCCTAAACTACCAGATGTGTAAGGAAATTTGAAAAGATACAGAGAATGAGGGTGCATGGGTGGCTCAATTGGTAGAGTGGTTGGCTCTTGATTTTGGCTCAGGTCATGATCTTGGGGGTTCTGGATCAAGCCCAGCATCATTGTCACTGGGCTGTATTCTCAGTGGGGAGGCTGTTTTAGGGTTTTTTTCTCTCTCTCTGCCTCTCCCCCTGTGTTCCCTCCCCCACTCTTTCTCAAATAAATAAACCTTTTTTTAAAAGTTAGTATGTTTTTTTTTTAATTTTTATTTATTTATGATAGTCACACACACAGAGAGAGAGAGAGAGAGGCAGAGACATAGGCAGAGGGAGAAGCAGGCTCCATGCACCCAGAGCCCGACGTGGGATTCGATCCCGGGTCTCCAGGATCGCGCCCTGGGCCAAAGGCAGGCACCAAACCTCTGCGCTAAAAGGGACTAAAAGTTAGTATGTTTTTTAATGCAGTGATGAACTTCTATTTAGTCCAATATTGAGTGTCATTACCTGAAATGCTATAGGGTCAAACCAAACAGATGTATAAACTATCACAGTACTACAAAAATGACAGAAAATACTTTTTTTTTTTTTTTAGGAATTGGGAGTTCTTTAGGTGTGTTCAATAGGAATCAGAAAATGGTGTCAGACTTTATGTCATCCTAGGGAAGACTGAACGTGGTAATTCCCTCTAGCAGACCTCAAAAAACCCCCAAAACCAAAACCAAAAAACAACCAACAAAAAAGCCCTGCCGAAAGATAGTATATCTTAAGTCTTAAGAGGGTCTTTAGACTTGGAAGGGACTTTGTAGCATCTAGTCTAACAATTTCATGTTAAATATATGAAAAAGGAAGATCAGATGATGTTTGTGACTTGTTTCCCAAAAATCACCAAGGAATTTGGTAGCAGAACTAAAATTAAACCCAGCTTTGTTGACTCCACCCTAAAGTCATTTCCACTATACTAAGAGGCTTCTCTTATCAGCCTCTGTCCACTTGAGTGCAGGCCAAGTAACAACCCTAGGCATCCTCATTTTGTCCTCCCTGATGGAAGCCTCATTAGTTTGGGTCTCTTCTTCTTCTCTCTCTCTCTCTTTTTTAAGATTTTATTTATTCATGAGAGACACAGAGAGAAACAGGCAGAGACATAGGCAGAGGGAGAAGCAGGCTCCCTGTGGGGAGCCTGATGTGGAACTCGATCCCAGGACCCTGGGATTACAACCTAAGCCAAAGGTAGACAGATGCTCAACCACTGAACCACCGAGATGCCCCAGTTTGGGTCTCTCCTATGCTCCCATTCTATGGCCTTGATGAATGGAACAGCGGAGCAACAGCCAACAACAGCTCTTCAAATAAAGAGTTGTAAGCCAGAGCCCAGGAAAGCAGTGCGCTTCTTGCTTAAACAATATATAATACTGGGAAAAGACTGGAGAAGCATAGAAGAAAGGCAGTAGGAAGAACTCCACAGCTGACAACAGTTTGTTCAATAAATAGCTGGCACCAGTCAACATGAGCTCTTCTGATCTGGGGATATAAGCTGTCTCATTTCTCTCATGATTCAGTAGGAGCAGGCCACACCAAACAGCACTGGAATGGCTGGAGAGTAGAGTCCCAAGAAAAAACACTGGCTCACAGAGAAAGAACACAGGAATATATCAGAAGCATCAAAAGGGAGGCTTATGAGCCTTTCTTTAGATATTTGTAAGCTCCACTTCTTGTTACTTACTTCCCTCTAAGTTTAGGAGGGCACTGAGAAACACTTAAATTTGGGGTACCTGAGTGGCTCAGTCAGTTAAGTGTTTACCTTCAGTCCAGATCATGATCCCAGGGATGGCACCCTGGGATGCAGCCCTGGAATGGAGCTCTGTATTGGGTTCCCTGCTCATCAGGGAGTCTGCTTCTCCATCTGCCCCTCTCCTCCCTGCTCTCTCTCAAATAGATAAATAAAATCTTAAAAAAAAGAAACACTTAAATTTATATCTCAGGGCTTATTGGATTAAAATGCACAAGCCAAATCCTGCTCATACTCAGTGTTTTTCAAACTTTACTATATTTATAAATTACCTGAGAATCTTGCTAAAAAATGCAGATTCTTGAGCCATACCATATTTTTACATTATAACAAAATACTGAGTTAATCCTTGACTCAGCACATTTTCAAATACTGCAGATGATTCTGACTCATGGACGGGCCACTAAACAGAACCTTTTTGATAACAAGTTATCTTAAGCAAGGACCATTTCCAGAGGTTTATGAGGCAATCACATAAAGTCATTCACACCAATATACTCCCATACCTCCTTATATTGTAGTTGAGATGCTGCATCAAGGCCAAGTAAGGCCAATAACATTTCTTGATTCCACCTGGAAAAGCAATAATGTGGTGGACAGTTCTCAAGCCTGAGCTTTAAAAACGTACTGATATCTGAGTCTTGCCTCAGGCCAAGGAAATCATTATCCCTGGGGGTGAGGTCTGAGCATTTCTTAGAAGTTCCCCAGGTATATATCATGCAGCTAAGGTTGAGAACCACTCATCTGAAGTAACAGACTGTAGAGAGCATTATAGGAAGTATCCACTGATATCTGGCCAATTAAATCTGGGAATGTTATCATTTAAGTGATGTTTCAAGATACAAACCTTTTCCATAGAGCATATCATTTGTTTAACTTATTTAAGTAAGGTTTTTCATTAAAATTCATTATTCTACAGAAATATATGTAATTCAGATTATGTGCATCATATATAGTCTCCCTTTCTTTACTCTCTTAACATTTAAGCACACCCAAATTAGCAGCCCCTATACCTACTCCATAGTTCTGTTTGCTGGACTGGAAATCCGCTCTGAAAATCCACAAAGAGAAAAAGCAGCAGAGTTTGTCCCTGGGAGTCCAAATTCTGAGACTGATCTCTCTCACTGGATTCCACCTGATAACTCACATCTGGAAGCACCAAATCTAGAGGACAAGATATTACACTGTAGTCTAAGATAAGTAAAGCCCTCAGAATGATAAGTGAATAAAGAACCTATGCCTCAAACAAAGAAGGATGTGAGACAGATTGAAATTTGAACACTCCCTTCTCCTCCTGAACCTGTTTGTCTATCCATATGATGGAAGCAAATAATAGCGACTCACAGAAGGAACATAAAAATAACAACTGGGTGTGCAAAATGCAAACCAAACAGCACTCCTTAGAATTTACTGGGAAACATTAATACATGTATTCATTTCTCATACAACTTTCTAAGATAGCTATCGCTAGTAAGAGGCAAGAGGTCAGCGGTGCCTGGGTGACTCAGTCAGTTAGGCCTTTGGCTCAGGTCCTGATCCCAGCGTCCTGGGATTGAGCCCCCATTGGGCTCCCTGCTTAGCGGGGAGCCTGTTTCTTCTTCTCCCTCTGTCCCTCCCCCTGGTTGTGCTCTCCCTGTTATCTCTTTCAAATAAATAAACAAAATCTTTAAATTAAACAAAAGGCAAGAGGTCAGAGTCAAGTTTGAGTAATGATAAGGACAACAGCTAATTTGTATTAAATGCTTACTACATGACACTTACTGTGTTAAACTCTTCACATGAACTATCTAAACATTTAGACTTCACAACAGCACTATGTCATAGGACCTATTCTTAGGTCACTTTACAGATAAGAGGTACAAATAGGTTAAATACATTGTCCGACATGATGGAACTGATTTTAGACTCAAAGTCTGCATTCTTAACCACATTACTATGTTATATTTGTATTCCCAAGTAATCTGATGCCCTATAGTCACTTTTTAGCACCTTGATCCTTTAGAATACAATAATGATAGTCCTAAATTCCACCCAGATCCAAATGGAGAATATCTCCATGTGGATTCTGGTTCTGTCCTTGAGAGTAATGAGGGAGGGAAGGAGATGAAGGGACATTTTCTATATTACTTATTTCCAAAGTTAACTGAGCAAGTTCAGGCATCACAAATTGGCAAAAAATGAAGGGAACTGACAAAGCATAAAAATAAAAATGAATGAGAAAAGGAAACATAAAAAAAAAAAGAAAAGGAAACAGAGAGCCTTAGAGTAGAGATTCAAAAATTCTAATGGCAGGACATCCTACCTGTTAAGATCAGGCATTCTTTCTTCCCCAAAAAACTCACTTCTATAGACCCTATTCATTGATTTTAGGGGGGGGGGGATCTATCTCCTGGATCTGAATGCCCGTTTCCCTCCCCAAGTTAGGGAAGTTCTCAGCTATGATTTGTTCAAATACACTTTCTGGTCCTCTGTCCCTTTCGGAGCCCTCTGGAACCCCAATTAAAGGTAGATTTTTCCTTCTGAGGCTGTCATTTATTTACCTTAGCCTTTCCTCATGGTCTTTTAATTGTTTTTCTCTTTTTTCCTCAGCTTCCTTCCTTGCCATCAACTTGTCTTCTATGTCACTCACTCTTTCTTCTACTTAATTAACCCTCATCGTTAGGACTCCAGTTTGGAGTCATTTAATTGATTTTTCATTTTAGCCTGATTAGATCTAAATTCTGCAGTCATGAAGTCTCTTAAATCCTTTATGCTTTTTTCCAGAGCCACCAGTAGCTTTATAATTGTGCTTCTGAACTGGCTTTCTGACATCGAATTGTAATCCAAATTCTGTAACTCTGTGAGAGAGTACTGTTTCTGATTCTTTCTTTTGTGTGGGTTCTTTCTAATCATTTTGCTCAGTGCAGAGTGGCTAAAAATGAGTTGTACTTGTTAGAAGCACAAACTCTTCTCTCTGTAGTGTTCTAGCTGTTCTCTCTTTAAATCTCAGGCCGAATTCATAGGTTTTCAGGATGATTTGAAAGTTATCTAGGTAAGTTGGTGGGGACAGGTGACTTGGGGACCCAGCTCTTCCACCATCTTGCTCCACCCCCTACAGACCCTATTCAAAGACACCCTCCTTTATTGCACACTCTGTAACAACTACCAACTCAATAAAAAAAAAAAAAATCCTTACTCTGAGGCTTCCTTCTCAGAGAAGATTCTATCATTCTCCCTGATATACTTCTCCATCCCAGGAGGTCTCAGTCTTCTCATACCAGTCACAGCTCTAGAATGCCTCTTCCTCACTGGTCACTTTCCTCAGGATCCAGTTTACCAGACTACCTTCTAAATTTCAAAGGATTCTAGCTAATGGTCATCAAGCTCAAGACTGTAAACCTCCTAAATATCACCTCATGGTTTCATATTCCTACTTTCCTGTTTTACTTTTCGGTTCAGTCCAACTCTCAGCATGATTCAAAGTTAATGTGGTTAGGCTTTACATGAAAACTACAGCTAGTTTCCTAGGTTCATTACTACATGGTTTATACCCCTGCTTTGTATTTATATGGTGTTTTAATCTTTTAAAGTAATTTTATGTGCATTTTTATGTCATTAGGAGATACTTCTCTTCCACAGTATTTCAATGATGTTAGTAACCCTTCTAAAACCCCAGAGTGACAGATTAAGATACGACAGAAACCTTCTGAACAAGTTCTTACAAGATAAAGTTTTCTACTTGACTATATCAAGAGGTCCAGGAAGAGAGGAGGCTTTGGGAAGTGAGAGGAAAACCAGCATAAATATGTAATGCCAAAATACTTAGGCTCTAACGCAGCTTTGCCTATTGACCTGTTGTGGACTTCATACCAGCAGCCCCCAACCTAAGTCCCCAACCTACCAGCAGCCCCCAACCTAAGCCATCGGATCACCATGTCCCATTTTTTTTGTACACCTGCTATTTATATTTCCTTGCATTTCTCTGATATTCTCCAGGTTTCTTTATTCCTGTGAAAAGAGAGGGAAATATACCTCTATCCAAGCTGAGATCCAAATTGGGCACCATACACAAGTGGTATTTCTTCCAGTCAATGAAATAACAGATATCTTTGAAGACAGTAGTATTTGGCTGCTCCTGACTTGGCAGTATCAGAGGCAGACCTGAAGGTCCATACAGAAATATGTATAGTTGCTAAAGAAAAGTATTAGATTTTAGTTTTTTATGACTATGTATTCATTTGCATAAAACAAACATAACACTGACCTGGTTCACACTCCTAGAAATAAACTAGGGTGCTAGAGGATTATATATTAAGCCTTTCCACATTGAATATAGGTGTGAGGCACCAGAGATAGATCCACTAGAATCCCTAGAAATTTATTTTATTGTTTTTTAATTTTTTATTTTTAAGATTATATTTTTTATTTATTCAGAGAGAGAGAGAGGCAGAGTCACAGGCAGAGGGAGAAGCAGGCTCCATGCAGGGAGCCCAATGTGGGACCCGATCCCGGGTCTCCAAGATCACACCCCGGGCTGCAGGAGGTGCTAAACCACTGTGCCACCGGGGCTGCCCTCCCTAGAAATTTAATCTGGGTTTAGGTGTGTGTTACAGGTATAGTATTGGTACAATTAGTTTATTTTTTCATCCTACTCATTTCATCATAGGTTTTTTGTGGTACTACAGACTAAACACTGTACTAAGTTCAGAGGACACAAAGATGAATATTAGATTTAATATCTACCTTCAAGTTATCATATTTATAGTATTGGAGATATATATATATAAATTAGTAAAATATGGCATGATACATGCTAGAAGTATATACAAAGAAATATCTTTCAGGAAGTATTTGAGTGTATTCAGATAAAGAAGGAAATTCCTTGTCCTGGGACAACTGGGTGGCTCAGCGGTTGAGCATCTGCCTTTGACTCAGGGCTCGGGTCTCACATTGGGCTCCTGTGGAGAGCCTGCTTCTCCATCTGCCTGTGTCTTTGCTTCTCTCTGTCTCTCATGAATAAATAAATAAATAAAAATCTTAAAAAAAATAATTAAAAAGAAGATAAATTCCTTATCTTCCCTAAGCATTTTCTCTAACCAAGACCAAGGGGGTCAGGCCTCTAAAATGCTTTCCTTCTCTTGATTTCACTACAACCCTCGCTCGCCCTTTAACCCAGGGTTTCTCCACCATAGCACTACTGGCACTTTGGGCCAGATAATTTTTTATTGTAGGGGCTGTCCTGTGCACTGTAGGATGGTAAGCAGTATCCCTGGCCTCTACCCACTAGGTGCCAGTAGCACCCCGAGTCATGACAGTCAAAAATGTTCCCCCAATATTCCCAAATGTCCTCTCGGGCCAAAATTATCCAGTTAAGAATACTTAACCCTTTTTATCCCCTGAACCAAGGCTAAAGAAACAAGAAATATATTTTCCTTTATCTTTTTTTTTGTTTCATCCTCTTTTTATAGGGTAAACATGAGGAATGCCTGGGTGGCTCAGTGGTTAAGCATCTGCCTTCAGCCCAGGGTGTGATCCTAGAGTCCCGGGATTGAGTCCCACATCAGGCTCCCCACATGAGCCTACTTCTTTCTCTGCCTATGTCTCTGCCTGCCTCTCTCTCTCTCTCTCTCACTCTCTCTCTCTCTCTCTCGACTAAATAAATAAATAAATAAATAAATAAATAAATAAATAAATAAAATCTTTTTAAAAATTGGGTAAACATGAAGTATTAAGTGTGAAGATTAAAATCCTTACCCAGTAGGTACTGGGTAAGTCACAGCAGGAAAAGGGAGACAGTACCCATAAATGAAGTCTCTATCACAAACCTAAGACATTTACACAGGGGCTAAGGCCAATACATTTACTGTTTAGAGCCAAAGGAGCTTTGATGCACTGCAAACTCAGGAAGAGTGGGGTGTTTGAAGAGTTAAAATGTGTGAATGTCTTTTAATTGTGTTGTTGAAACTATTACATATAAATACTGGTATGGTTATGTTTAGCCTACCATCTTGTTAAGCATTTTGCATTTATTTGTTCCTTATATTTCCCTCTTTTCTATTTTTGGGTTTCTATTTTGGACTGGGTGTTTTTTACAATTCCATCTTATCCCCTTTCTGGACTTCTTAGTTACAATTCTTTGTTGTATTAACTTAGGGATTGCTTTAGGCTTTATAGTATAAACTTTTAGTTTATCCTGTCTACCTTAAATGATATTATAGTAGACATTATAACAATCATTTTCCTTTTGCCTGAGCATTTAACATTTCTTATAATATAGATCTGCTGGTGATGAAATCTTTTGTACATCTGAAAAATTCTTTATTTTGCCTTCATTTTTTAAAAATATTTTCTCTTGATATAGAATCCAGGTTAAGTTTTCTTTTCTTGGGATCCCTGGGTGGCGCAGCGGTTTGGCGCCTGCCTTTGGCCCAGGGCGCGATCCTGGAGACCCGGGATCGAATCCCACATCGGGCTCCCGGTGCATGGAGCCTGCTTCTCCCTCTGCCTGTGTCTCTGCCTCTCTCTCTCTCTCTCTCTCTCTCTCTCTCTGTGACTATCATAAATAAATAAAAATTAAAAAAAAATTATTAAACTTTGTTAGGTGGGACCGGGGTAGCCTACACACTAGGGCTAACTTCTCCATTATATTCAAACTGTTCTTAGCACTCCCAACTGATGCTTTATGAAATATGAGGTTTTACATACTGCCTGGTAGGAACAGAATCCATCCCCAGCTCTGTGTGTACTCCAGGAATTCTCCTCTGTCTGGAGCACTCTCTGTAAATTTGTCTCTTACAGTTCTAGCTGCCTGGACCTCCGTAAACTTTGTCTTCTCAACTCAGAGAGATCCTCTAGAGTCTAGTTGTGTATACCCTCCTTGTGAACTTCTCTTTAGGTAATACAGTGGTACAACACAGGGTTTGTTTCTCCTCTCTCTCTAGACCCACTGTCCTGTACTGTTGTTTATAATAATTTGTCCATTTTTTTAGTTGCTCAAGGTAGGAGACCGGATCCAGTCCCTGTTATCTGTTCACGGCTGGAAGTAGAATTTCTGAAATCCTCTGACATGATCTCATGGACTTTGATAGCGTCTTTGCTTTCTGGCTCAGCACAAGATATTCAGGTTCATCCTGTACATTTCTACTTTAGGCCTGGAATCAGTCATTCTACCTTTTTAGTGAGCAAAGACAATTAGAGAATACATTATGGGTACTAGGGGAGTGCTCATTGCTCCTAAGTTTGTTTGTTGTTTGTTTAGCAGATAGCGCTAAGGAATACATAATTTCAAAAGTCAGGAAACTTGGGAGTATACATTGGTATCTTCAGTTCCACTTTAAGATTACTTAAAATTTTTTTATTTTAAAATAAAAAAAATAAAAAAATATTGCTTTGAATTTATACTCATATATCTGCAGTCTTATGCTAAAAATTTTTGTTTCCAACTATGTTATCATAATTACTTGCTTTATAATAAGTATGCATACAGTAATTTCAGTACAATGCCAATATTATTAGTAAGAATAAAGACCACTAAATGAATTTCAAGAGTGCTTATACAATCCACTTCATCCTTAAGAATATATCCTACCAAGAATATATGTCAAAACATTATGTTCTGGGGCACCTGGGTGGCTCACAGCTTATTAAGCATCTGCCCTCCACTCAAGCCAAGACCACAGAATCCTGGGATCCAGCCCTGTATCAGGCTCCCTGCTCAGTGGGGAGCCTGCTTCTTCCTCTCCCTTTGCCCCTCCCCCTGCTTGTGTTTTCGCTGTCAAATAAACAAATAAAATCTTAAAAAAAAAAACTGTTCTAAAGTCAGCTGAATTCTTCTTACTGTATGAATTATGACATTAATGTATATAGGTATGTTCATTATCTTTTATCTTGAGAAATACTTTTATTGGGTAAGGGATTCTAGTGTGGTGATATTTTTAATTTCAGGATATTAACACTATTAAACTACTACATCCTGTTGGTATGGGGAAGTTAGCTGTCAATTTGTTTCTCTTTTGAAGAAAATCCATCTTCCTTAGCTGATTTTTCTCCTTATTTTTTATTTTTTACAGGTATAGGTATCTTTTAGTTTATCCTGCTTGATTATTAAGATCTGAAATCTGTTTTAGTTGCTTTAGGCATTAATTCTTCAAAGACTTTCTGCCACATTTTCTCTCTTCTCCTTTGGGACATGGATTAAATGTACATTAAATGGTCTCACTGTTTCTTCTCATCTGTTAACCTCTCTTCTGTATTTTCCATAGTTTTCTCTCTCTTTGCTTTATTTTATTAAGTTTTTGCTATCATTATCTTTTACTTCACAAACTGACTTATACTGCATCTAATCTGTTATTAAACCTATTTAATTTCAATATTGGTTACTATATATTTTGGTTCTACAATTTGTTTGGTTCTTTTAAAAATTATGTCACAATTATAGTTAACAGTTTCCTGACAGGATTTTTACGGTTGTTTTCAATTCCATAAGCATAGTAAACATAATTTTTTATTTTAAAAATCAGTGTCTGCTATTACCAATATCTGGAGTTCCAGTCGGTGCTTCTGTTGCTTTTGTTTTTGCGAGCTCTTGTTCATGTTACCTTATCCGCTCTTTAGCCTAAGTGTGGGGTGTGTGTGTTGTGACAGAGAAGAGAGAGAGAGAGAGAGAGAGAGAGAGAAATGCACATAAGCTAGACACTTTGAGAAAGTATTTGTTAAATAATTTGAAGCATAGATGTGGTTATCTTCCTCTAGGAAGAATTTTTGTTTGTTTCTACAAAGCCATCTGGGAGAATCAGAAATCCAGAATCATCTTAATCCAATGTGAAAGTCTAAGATATTCTAGCCTTCCTAAAATGACCCAAAAACTACATGCAGTTCACTTGAAGGATAATTTATTTCGGGTTCACCTTACTCCTTAAAGTGTAACCTTTTAGTTATCCCTGCCCAAAATAAGAGGTGCTTTTAACAGCACCCCAGCTCAGCAGGCCCTAAACTCTTTGGCCTTCCTGTCCTACATGCATTCCGAAGTGCATTTTAGCTTCTTGGCTGCTTGCTCTAATTTGCAAATGACCTCAGGGCAAAAGTAGCCCCCAGTGCTGGGCCCAAGCTTTCTGTAATTCCTGTTTTCTCCTATAATGGCCCAGAAATTCTTTCCTATTCACTAGCTCTAAAATTCTTTTTTTTTTTTAAAGATTTTATTTATTTATTCATAGAGATGCAGAGAGAGAGAGAGGCGCAGAGACACAGGCAGAGGGAGAAGCAGGCCCCATGCAGAGAGCCAGACATGGGACTCGATCCAGGGTCTCCAGGATCACGCCCTTGGCTGCAGGCGGCGCTAAACCGCTGCGCCACCAGGGCTGCCCTCTAAAATTCTTTCATGATATTTTAATATTTAATCCAGTACTTGTCCTCAATGGGAGGGTGGGTCTAAATTACCTAGTTTGCCATTTTCAGAAACTGAAATCCTACCAGAGTTTTCTGTTAGCTCTCTTTCTTTTCACTAAAACATCACCTCCCTAGAGTCTTCACTGACAATAATATTCAAAATAATTTCCCTATTATCTCTTTTCTGCTTTATCTTTACTGTACTGATCACTACCTGACATCTATTTATTAAAATGTCCCATTAAGTGTAAACTTCAAGAGGATAGAAAAATGTGCCTTATTCCCTCGGGGGGAATGGAATGAGGGGGAAGGGGAAACTTTTATATTTTACTTTATACTCTTCTTTATGACCTAGATATTAAGATTTTAAAATCCAAAAGTCCTTGCATAGTCTTTTTTTTTCCCTTGCATAGTCTTTATCACCATCCCGCTCCGTCCTCCTCCCTAAAGATATTTTCAGCTGACATTTATCATACTATGACCTTGGTCTTCTTCTGTTCTTATTCTTTTTACTCTACTATAACTTCACTTACTCTTATAGCTTCAATCATATAACAATAATACCTGATATTTATTGAATTTTTATTATGTGTTAGGCAGAATGCTAGGAGCTTCACATAGATTAATATATAATTAATCCTAAAACAAACAAATAAATCTCAAAAGAACAGCCATAACAACAATAAAACCTTTGCAAGGGGAAATAAATAAATATACAAAGTATTATTAACTCTGTCTTAAAGCTGATGCAATAAAAACTTAGGCTGGTTGAGCAAGCTGCATAAAGGCATAGGCAATTTACCAATACTGGTAAATCCAGTATTTACACTCTTGTGCCATGCTCTAACCATAGCACTATACTATATTTAGGGAAAATGCTGAGGTTCTAAAATTTAGAACTAAATCTAAACACTTCAAAATTCCAGACCAAAATTTCTATTCAGCTCTTGCTATTTTCAAGAGATGTGCTGTAGGATCCATAAACTTAACATGTTTAAAGTGAAGCTAATCTTCTTTACCCTCCAAATCTGCCATTTATGATCTTATGATCTGCATCTTATTGACAGTATTATTATTCTATCAGCCATCTGTGGAAATGTTTTTAAACAGTTTACTGAGATTTAAACATATCACATAACATACAATTCATCCACTTAATGTGCACAGTTAAATGTGTTGTAGTATATTCAAAAAGTTGTGCAATCATCACCACCATCAATTTTAGAACATTTTTATCACCTCCCCCCAAAATCCCCTTCCATCTACTTTCTATCTCTATGGTTTGCCTATTCTGGATGTAGAAATATTTACATCAACTTTGGCCATTCCCTGCCCCTAATCTCTCCTTACCCTAATAATGAATTGATTGCCTTGTTACACTGATTCCTTCGAGTGAAAAGTCACTCTTTTCCATGCTCATCATACTTTTAACTCAGGTAAGGATTATCTCTTGCCCAGGTCACTTACTTATTTACTTAGTGATTACTGACTTCTCTCTCCTCCTCTCTCGTCATACCCCACTGTATGATGCTGCTTGAGACTCCTAAAACATCCAATGGTTTCCTACTCCTTAGACAATGAAGTTCACACTTAGTGTGGCACACAATAGCTGCCATATTCAACTCTCATCTTTCCTGCTTGCACCATTCATTCCATGCTTCAATCACACTAAATTATATGAAAAGCATGTGGCACATATGGCACATTTTATAGTATTCAGGGTTTTTTTTTTTTTTTGAAAACTTCTAAAGCTCAGCTTTCATACTAGATTTTTGTTTTTATACAAATCATACTGGCTTCTAGGCAGAGTTCATAATGCTAAGGCTTTTCTAGAACTGAGATATAAAAATTCATTTTGGGGGGCACCTGGGTAGCTCAGTCAGTTAAATGTCCAACTCTTAATTTCAGCTCAGGTCATAACCTCAGGGTTGTGAGATAGAACCCTGCATCAGGCTCTATGCTCAGCTCAGAGTCTGCTTGTCCCTCTCCCTCTGCTTCCCCACCCTCACTCACTATCTCTCTCTTTCAAATAAATAAATAAAATCTTTAAAAATTTCATTTTTCAAGGCAACTAATTTGAAGATTTGATGGACTTGGGACATCTGGGACACCTGGGTGGCTCAGTGGTTGAGCTTCTGCCTTCGGCTCAGGGTGTGATCCTGTGGTCCTGGGATAGAATCCCACATCCAGCTCCCTGCAAGGAGCCTGCTTCTCCCTCTGCCTCTGTCTCTGCCTGCCTCTCTTTGTGTGTCTCTCATGAATAAATAAATAAAATCTTAAAAAAAGAGAGAAGATTTTATGGACTCTATAATCAAAAGGATATGGAAACTGAAGAAATTCTATTCAGCTGGTTGGAAAAGACCTTGGGGCAGGGACACAGAGCAGCAGCTGGAGTCAGTATCAGCTCTCCCAAGAAGCCCATGTCATCCATGTCATCAGGGATGAAAAGTATTACTGGATGTCCTAACACAGGATGGATTCTGCTGCAGAGTAATTCAGCTGTACCAAATTTTGGTCTACTGTCAAAAAACAGGTTAGATAAATTTAGCTTTTCTTGCTTTTAAGAAATTATTTTCTTTCTTTTTTTCTTTTTTGTTTTTAAAGTAGGCTCCACTATGGGCCACCTGGCTGGCTCAGTCAGTGGTGTGTACAACTCAATCTTGGAGTTTTGAGTTCAAGTCCCCACACTGAGTGTACAGATTATTTAAATTATAAATAAATAAATAAATAAATAAATAAATAAATAAATAAAGTAGGCCCCACATCCAGATTATTTTAAAGGGCATTTAAAATTCCTTAGATATTTCTAACATATGTGTAACCATACAACCCACCATATCGGTTTTATTGGAATAAGCAACTTGTATCTCATTCAAGGAATCACAAGCAATAGAAAGAGTAGACAAATTGCCCTTTCAGGAATGATATCATGGCTCCTGCTTTTGCTGCCACTAATGCAGTTTTATATTCTCTAAAGTGTATTTCCTTCATTAAAATTACTCTATGGTTCTGAGCATAAGTTTCCAAGATCAAAGATTAGCATGGTGAGAGTAGGGGTGGAGGGGTCTCTGAATCACAACGGCCTAAAACTAGCTCCTGCTACTTAGATCTGTTTTCACACATGCTACACCTTCCCCTGAAGGAATCTGAGGTCACTGTTTGATAAGAGTAATAAGAAAAAATTAGGACATCTTTCTCTGCTAGAACTTAGTGAAATTTGATATTTGCTTACTTTCCAACAGCTCTTTTCTAAACAGAAAGAAATATTAATGAACCATTTCCTCTCTTTAAACTCATCAGGTCATCCAGGAAAATATGTCCACAAATACTGGCTCAGAGGCTTAAACTTTTTCAGTAAATCTATGATAATGAGCTGTCTTCTTGTAAGGACTATATGACAGTAGAGGCCTACTAAAGAAAGATAAGGGGGTGGGGCTTTGTTTCCTGCATAACTAAAAATTATTTTTTTTCTAAAAATTTTTTAAATTCTACTTTGAAGTGTAATTCTGGGTAAGAGTAAAACAAACAAACAAACAAAACAAAAAACAGGCTAAAAAGCCATGGGCAGTCTCTTCAAGCCTTAAGATCCTATGACTATCAGTTCTGATTTAAGACATACAAATGGAGTCGAAAACTACTAAATAATAAATTAGTTGGACTTAATAATTAGTTTTTTTCTTGCTATAATGCGTGTTCACTTTGGATTCTGAGGTAGGTGGATAGCACAGGAAGGCAAGGCAGAGGGTTCTATTCTATTTATTTACCATCTTCTCCATAGAATTTTTTTTGTAGTCTGAAGAAGGTGGAGGTAGTGAGAGATGATTTCCAAACATATGCAAAATGCTGGTGCACAAAAAAATAACATACAAAGAATTCCTTTGTGTTCATAGCCAAGAGTTCAAGTAACCATCTAAAGTCATTCCTCTTGGGGATCCCTGGGTGGCTCAGTGGTTGAGTGCTTGCCTTCAGCCCAGGGTGTGATCTTGGGGTCCTGGGATCGAGTCCCATGTTGGGCTCATTTCATGGAGCCTGCTTCTCCCTCTACCTGTGTCTCTGCCTCTCTCTCTCTATGTGTGTGTGTGTGTCTCATGAATAACTAAATAAGATCTTAAAAAAAATAAAGTTATTCTTTTCTTCTCATATATAAATAAGATTGAAATTAGCAGGGTTTGTTTTATTTCATTTACAGAAGAAAATGAGACATGGAAAAGAGAAGGCATATGTCCTTGGGTTAATTAGAATATTATTCAAGGAGCCAGAAATAATAAGAGCTTTTAATACAAATAATTTCAAAGTTCTACTTCTACTTTTCTGACAGAAAATCTGACACCTGGCACTAGGAAATGACGAGTGAGGCTACTTTCAATTTCTACCCACATTCATACTTTTTTTTTCCACATTCATACTTTTGATAGGAGATTAAAACATGGAAAGAGACAATAATGCTTTTAACCCTTCACCTCACATAATGCCGATAGCTTATAACAAGAGAAATTCCATTCGACAGGTTCAAAGTGGGTTCATTCTTTGTCCTGTAAAGCAAAGAAAAGCTAAGCCGTATTTCAGAGATTCTAAAATCAATCTTTACCTGATACAAATCTTGGACCATGACTACCACACACCCCTCCTCCAGAGATTACTAGAATTCAATAACCAAATAACCAAGGGAAAATGGCAACTTTTAAGATCACCCACTCTAGTGAGAGGGAAAGACATGAAGTGTTTAGATGAATTTACCTGCTTATTAAAAGCTAACATAGAATAAGAAAACGTGGGGGTCTCAGAAAATTAGTTTCAGAGTGACTTTGGGTCAAAAAGCCAAACCGTGGGGCACCTGGGTGGTTGAGCACCTGACTTTTGATTTCAGCTCAGGTCATCATCTCAGGGTCATGAGATCGAGCCTTTCATGGAGCTCTGCATCAGGCTCTGTGCTCAGAGTGGAGTCTGCTTGGGTTTCTCTCTCCCTCTTCCCCTCCCCCCCCATGTGCACTGTCTCTAAAACAAACAAATCTTTAAAAAAGGTCAAACTGTGAAGCTACTAGAAATAGGACAATAATGACTGAGAAAAATTATAAAGCCATGGCATAAACTTAAGCCATGGATTTAAGAACTTACCAAAAGATATCCATGGAAAGGACTCCATTCACTTTTACACTAAAATTGAATCTAATCTGCAAAGTAAATGGTATGAGATTTAACATGAACCAGGACATAAATCAAAAACTTCTATACTTAAATTCCAGAGGGGAAGATATTCTTTATATCTCCTTTTTTTCACCTGTACTTTTCCTAAACATAACATAATTAACACAATTAACATTTGTCTGTGCTCAAATTCTGCATCTGAAATATATTAAGTCCTATACTTCATTCCAAGTGGTCATAGATTATCAGGAGATCCTACCTTTTGTTCTCTGTTCTCCCAATGTTATGTGTTTTCCCTCTTAAAGGAACTATCAATTTTTCTCCCTTTTTTTCCATTGTTTTTGTATGTAGAAAATTCCATGCTTTTTTCTTTGCTTTTTCTTCCCTGGCCCCTAACTGACTTTTATGTCCTCCCTTCAATTTATTTCACTGTTCTAGTTATTTCCTACCTTTGACTTACATTTTTCTTTCTATATAACGTAATGGGTAATAAGGGACTCTGGAGCCAGATTGTCTGAATTCGAATCCTGACCATGCAAGTTATTTAACTTCTGTACCATAGTTTCCTCAACTGTAAAATGGGAATAATGAGGATAAAACCTACTTCACAAGGGCTGTTTCATGGGGTGAGTGAATGAGTGTGTGTGGAAAGCACTCAGAATAGTGACTGGCATAATTAAGAATTGAATCCTGCTGACGACAGAAAAAGTAGAAAGCTAGCAAGAAAAAAAAGGAGAAATTATATACCATACTTAATGTTGTGCACCCCTATAAATATATCTAACTATAGAAATAATAAAAATGATAGCTCTCTAAAGTTTGAAGTACTTTATCAAAATTTCCTGATTTGCTCTTCTAAGTCACTTTGGAAAAGGTGATAGTCAGCAAGGTTTATTATCCAAGTTTAATAGGATAATGAAGTACAGAGGAAAAAAATATATCTAAACTGATACTATAAAACAGTAAGGAAGTAAAAACAATCCAAAGGAAGCTCTAAATCCAAGGGCTCTCACCTATGTCACCTATGTCACATGACCAACATCAACACCATGTTAGGGACGCAGAAATCAAATCAATTCAATTTTATTTATTCACGAGAGACACACAGAGAGAGAGAGGCAGAGTCACAGGCAGAGGGAGAAGCAGGCTCCATGCAGGGAGCCTGACGTGGGACTCGATCCCAGGTCTCCAGGGTCACGCCCTGGGCTGAAGGCAGACGCTCAACCGCTGAGCCACCCGGGCTGCCTCAATTCAATTTTAAAAGCTGTAATCATTATCATGAAAAGAAAGAGGACCAACCATATCCTTCCATGTCCTGCAGAATAGAAATCTCCTGAAATCATATGACAAAAGAAGCATTACGTGCAAAAGAACAGCTTACCTTAGGGTGTACCATGACAATTTTATGTAAAAAATTCTTTATCACCAGACTATCTGTCATCAAAGTTCTGGGCTTTTCATTAACCTGTAACAACACAACAAAAATATCCACTACACATACACAAACCCAAGAGTACAAATGAGTTAAATTATAGTATCTCTTAGGCACATGGGTGGCACAGAGGGTTAAGTATCAGACTCCTGGTTTCAGCTCAGGTCATGATCTCAAAGTGGTGAGACTGAGCCCCATGTGGAGCTCTGCTCAAAGTCCACTTAATATTCTCTCTCCTTCTTCTGCCCTTCCCTGCCTCTCTAAAATAATAAAATAAATCTTTTTAATAAATAATGGTATTTCTTCCTTTAAAGGTAACTTACCCCTCAGAAAGCTTTTCAGACACCCAAGGGTCTAAAACTTGTACACAAAAGGCAATCTTTTTTTTAAAGGTTTTATATATTTATTCATGAGAGACAGAGAGAGGCAGAGACATAGGTAGAAGGAGAAGCAGGCTCCATGCAGGGAGCCCAATGCAGGACTCAACCCCAGGTGATCTGGGATCTGGGATCACACCCTGGGCCAAAGGCACACACCAAACTGCTGAGCCACCCAGGCGACCCGTGCAAAAGGCAATCTAATAGCTGTCATTTCTCGGGTTAAACTGTTTCTTTTTTTTTTTTTTAAGATTTTATTTATTTGTTTGAGAGTGCGTGAAAGACCAAGAAAAAACACACATGAACAGGGGAAAGGGAAGAGGCAGAGGAAGAAGCAGACTGCCGGCCAACTTGGAAGCCTGACATGGGGCTAGATCCCAGGGCCCTGGGATCACGACCTGAGCCAAAGACAGAGGCTTAACAACTGAGCCACCCAGAGGCCCCTTGGTTTAAACTATTTCTTTTTTTTTTTTTTAAGATTTATTTATTTATTTATTTATTTATTTATTCATTCATTCATTCATTCATTCATTCATTCATTCATTCAGAGAGAGAGAGAGAGGCAGAGAGAGAAGTGGGCTCCATGCAGTGAGCCCGACACGGGACTCGATCCCAGGTCTCCAAGATCACGCCCTGGGCTGCAGGCGGCATTAAACCGCTGCGCCACCGGGGCTGCCCAGTTTAAACTATTTCATGGAACTTCAGGAGATATATGAACAAAGATCAGAGGAAAATCCACAATATCAGAACTACCTTTTGGAATAAATTTAACAGTAATTCAGATCAGAGCTAAGAAGAATAACTCTATCTTGCTCTACCATCCTGATGTGAGTTGATTGTATTAAGAAGGGAGTGAAAGGGGGCAGCCCCGTGGCTCAGCGGTTTAGTGCCGCCTTCAGCCTGGGGTGTGGTTCTGGAGACCTGGGATCGAGTCCCACGTCAGGCTCCCTGTATGGAGCCTGCTTCTCCCTCTGCCTCTCTCTCTCTGTGTGTCTCTCATAAATAAATAAATAAAATCTTTTTAAAAAATGGAGTGAAAGGAGCAGACAACTAAAAAGAACCTATTTTTCAACATCAATCTATTTATATAAACACTTATTTTTTAGGAAAAGTTGTAAAGCAAAAAAATTCACAAGTCAGAAGACATGTGTTCCAGTACTGGCTCTGTATAAATTATTTAAGTAACCATGAAAAAAAAATCACTTAATTGTTCTGGGATTTATTTACTAATCTGTAAAAAGGATAAAAGTTACCCATTCTACTTCACAGAATTGTTTTAAGGATCAAATAATAGGGACGTCTAGGTGGCTCAGTGGTTCAGCGTCTGCTTTCAGCTCAGGGAGTGATCCTGGAGTCCCGAGGTCTAGTCCCAGCATCAGGGTCCCTGCTTGGGGCCTGCTTCTCCCTCTGCCTATGTCTCTGCTTCTCTCTGTGTGTCTCTCATGAATAAATTTTAAAAATCTTTTTAAAAAAAGATCAATTAATAATCTGAAAGTATACATTATACATGGCAACAATAGTAGATATCACTTGTTGAATGCCTACTATGTAGCAAGCGTTGTGCAAGTGTTATATCTCTTATTACCTCATAACAATCCTGGAAGCAGATATTACTATCCTTTCTTTGTAGTTTTTAAAAAATATCTTATTTATTTATTCATGAGACAGAGAGAGAGGCACAGACACAGACAGAGGGAGAGCAAGCTCCTTGCAGGGAGCCCGATGCAGGACTCGATCCCCAGGCCCAGGCAGAACTGAAGGCAGAAGCTCAACCACTGAGCCACCCAGGCGTCCCTGTAGCTTTTTTTTCTTTAATGAGATTCAGAGAAATTAAGCAACTTGCCTAAAGTTACTCAAGCTGTTCAGTGATAGAGCCAGGATCAGACCCTATCTAACACCAATTGTCCATGCGCTTTCCAATATACTCAGATACCTCCCTACAAATATAATAAAAATTTATAATCTAATGAAAGTTTTCTCTAGTCCAGAAATGGAGCTAACATATCCTACTTATATCACCTCATTTACCCCTCACAAAAGCCCTATTACATACTTAAAACCCACATTTTATGGATGAAAAAATAGAGTCTCAAAGAGATCAAACAATTTTCTCAAGGTTACCTGATCTGGCTCCAAAGCTTTAGTATTAACCACTTTCCTAGAATGGCTCACTATATTTAATACAGTGTCCCTAAAAGCAAAGTTAGAAGGAGTCTTCTAGAAAGTGGAAAAGTCTAGGAAAATGAGAAAAAGAAATAGAGTAAAAAATCAGTAAGTTCTTATTGGTGGCTCAGAGAATACAGACCCATGTAGGTACATGTTAAAGAAAAAAATTGTCCCAGACCTCAAAATATCATAACACAATGAAGAAGAAATGGAAAGAATAAATTATTGTAATACTTTTTCTAAGTACACTGAAAATGAGATCAAGAATTATGCAATGAGTGGGGAAAATTAAATTATTATAGAATCATTACAAAAATATCAGAAAAATGGGGATTCCTGGGTGGCGCAGCTGTTTGGCGCCTGCCTTTGGCCCAGGGCGCGATCCTGGAGACCCGGGATCAAATCCCACGTCGGGCTCCCGGTGCATGGAGCCTGCTTCTCCCTCTGCCTGTGTATCTTCCTCTCTCTCTCTCTCTCTCTCTCTCTCTCTCTCTCTCTCTGTGACTATCATAAATAAATAAAAATTTTTTAAAAAATCAGAAAAATGGATGGGAATTATTATAAATTTCTGGAAACAGATCTAGGATTATTCATATATGTAAATAGTGGTGATTAAACAGTAGCTGCAGCATACACCTCACAGCCACATCCTTCATTTAAAACATTTTACTATGGAACGCCTGGGTGGCTCAGTTCTCAGCTCAAGTTTTGATCTCAGGGTTGTGAGTTCAAGCCCTGGGTTGTGCTACATGCTGGGTGGGGAGGCTACTTACAAAAATAACTTAAAAAATAACTTTATTATAAAATGTTCAAAAAAATAAAAAAAATAAAATGTTCAAATAATAGAAAAGCAATGATCTCTTCAAAGCAGTTTTTGTAATTAGCACTTCCAAAACAACTTCTTGGAACAGTTTCAAACTTCTGTAGCCTTGGTTATTATAGGGTACATCACAGAAAGGGCTAATTATATCTAGCAGTAAGTAAACGAAGTAACTAAAGATTCCTTCAGCAGCTACCAGAGAGGCTAGAATTAATAATGATGAGAGCTACCACTTACTGAACACCTGCTTCATGCCAAACAGTTTATATGCAAGCAGGAAATATTCCCATTTTATTTATGAGAATAATGAGACTAAATAAGCTGTTTAATTTGTCCAAGGTCACACATAGCTAGTTAAGTGGCCGAACTGGAATTCAAACCTAGATCTGACTAAATTCAAACCCCACATTCCACTACGCAATACTGTTGCTCCAAGATAATTCATTATCTGTGCATATAGGTTGGTGAATTGGACATTATGTAATCTATCATTACTTTTATGGAGCCTGATAGGCAATACTTATGCAAACTACTGAATTACCCACTCAAGACACTTAATGGAGTTTATTAAGTACCTGAGCTTACAGAGGTAAATAAAACAACCTCTGAGTTTGAAGAGTTCACAGTTAAGTAAACCAAAACGCAAATAAATAATTTATATGACAGTATGAAAAGTCCTATGATTTACATATAGGAGATGCTAAAGAAAAAAACAAGAAGGACTGGCAGATAAAGTGATCTAATATCACACCAGCAGAGGATAGTTAACACGAAGTAAATAGCTCCTTTTAAAATCTACTCATAAATTACTGAGAGAGAGAGAGAATGAACAAAATGTATGTGTGTATATCTACAAGGTCTTTTACAGCCTTTTAGAGTTGGGTATTAGAAACCTAGTACCCCATCTTGACATACATATAGAAGCAGGGAACTTACTTAAGTGTTATTAGGAAAACAGATGCTGCCAGCCCTGGGCAGTAGAAATCACTATTGAATCATATGTTCCAGCCTTCACCTTTAAGTATAAATCTAAATGTATCACAGATAATTTGAGCTGTTTTATATTTTCAAACTGAACCTAGGTTATCATGGGCCCTATATAACTGTCTAGAGAAAAGTCAATCACTGCCTCTGTCTCTTCTTGCCTCTAGTTAAATAGATATAGAAAGAAATAGAGATAGACAAATATGAAGATATGTTTGTAGGTATACATGTGTAGCTCTATAAATTTTATTATTTAGTATTATAGCAAAAATAAATATAAAAATGGGTAAAGTCTCAAGATCTTGTAAAACCAAACTATTTTTGGAGGGACATGTTACCCTGCCCAATGGACCCCAAGATTCAAGGCTAAGTCTGAGCATAAACACAAGACCTTGCATCTCTTCTAAATGAAGCTTCAGTATTCCCTTCTAAGATTAGCTCTCCTTGCATGTCCAAATCAGTGGATCATCTATTATAGTTTTTTCATGGATGTCTCCACTGACTAGCCTCCACTATGAACCTTGATACTTGATCCTTCTCCCCATTTGAGGTATATAAGTTGTTCACAATCTCCCCTTCTTCTCTTCTCACTCTCTTCATTCAAATATCTTTTAAATAGCTGCAAGGTACTAGAGACAATGAGATGTAATGGAACAAATGCTTTCAGGGAACTCTTGGTCCTATTCTGAGGTCATACTGTTCTTTGCTGCTCCTCATCTATCGCCAGCTGACTACAGGCACTGAGCTCATGTTTCCTCTGTACTTTAAGACCTGCCATCAGCTGGGCTGACTTCCACATCCAAGTAGATGGCCTGTCTAAGCAACAACTTAATCTCACAATTTCCTGACCTCTTCAACTCCAACGACCTTGACATCCACACATTTCCAGCCACCTATTTCCATGGCCATAGTTTGGAACTGTACCATTCTAAAAACCTGAAACTGAAATGCCTCATTCTTATGTGAAAAGATGCACACCAAGATGTTAACAGTGGCTATCATGATTAAATCAAATTTGTGTTCTAAATTTTCCTGAGGGAAACAATAAGACAAACTTTATCAGTCTGAAGACAAATTCCTATTCTTTCAAGTCTCTGAACCCGTTATGCCCAGAAAATCTGTTTTCAGTCTCATCAAGACCCCTTGGCCACTTCCCACTGCATTAGGTACCTTCTTCTATGTTATACACCCTACTCTATCATGACACATATTACATTGTATTGTAATTATATGTTTGCTTGTTTATCTTTTCCTTTAGGAACTTGGAATCAAATAATATATCTTGGGACTCTGTACTTTCAACATCTACCACAGTGAGGCTGACTTGAACAAACACAGAGTATATATTTCTGTGTGAGTGAATATATATTCAAACAGACCTGATTAAAATGAGTAAGATTTTAGTTCAAATTCTAATTGTGTCACTTAACTTTCATATGACTGTGGAGAAGTCCATTGAATTATCTGAATCTTAGTTTTCTTGTATCTGTAAAACGGGGAGATAATCCCTGTTCTATCTACTTCACAGAGTTGTCAGGAGGCTTAAATAATATATATAAAAGTTAGGGATAAAAATTAAAGAAGATGTGGTCTATATATATACAATGAGTATTACTCAGCCATTAGAAATGACGAATACCCACCATTTGCTTCAACGTGGATAGAACTGGAGGGTATCATGCTGAGTGAAGTAAGTCAATCGGAGAAGGACAAACATTATATGGTTTCATTCATTCGGGGAATATAAAAAATAGTGAAAGGGATTAAAGGGGAAAGGAAAGAAAATGAGTGGGAAATATCAGAGAGGGTGACAGAACATGAGAGACTCCTAACTCTGGGAAATGAACAAGGGGTAGTGGAAGGGGAGGTGGGCAGGTGGTTGGGGTGAGTGAGTGACAGGCACTGAGGGGGGCACTTGATGGGATGAGCACTGGGCGTTATACTATATGTTGGCAAATCGAACTCCAATAAAAAAATATACAAAAAAAAGATCAGTTTAGACTGGTAAAACACATGATCTCCTTTTCTAGAACTGCTTTTCTTGGTTCACTGAAAACAAACTTTTTTTTTTATTGCTACTTGACATTAATAGTTTCAGAGCTGACTAACCATTAATTGCTCTAGATTGTTTACCCATCATTCCCCTAAAGAAGATAAGGCACAGCCAGAGATATCTATTGTCGTAATACTGCACCCATTTCCTTTGAGAAGGAACATATAATTGTCCAAACATGAAGAAAGGCCTCCCAAATGCTTCTTCGGAGAATGTTTAAAGCACTCTAATTCCTTATGTTTCCACAAACTCAAAGGAAAGAAAGATAAGGGATCAGAGAATTGTTAAAGGGAATGGAGAACTCAACTGTCACTCTTATAAATCTGTGCTACAAATAAACCAATAAAGATCTTTAAGCCAACCTAATAAAAATTATCCAAATAGGATCTGCACTGAGAATCCATTTTTATTTTCTTTTTCAGGAGATCCAAATTCAAACGACTGCTTGTTTCAGTGGTTCTTAAATTCATCTGCACATTAGGAACCATCTGGGATTTTTTTCCATCTAGGATTTCAAAGATATCCCAAAGCCCAGGCTGCATCAGTATGGACTGAATTGTGTCTCCCAAATTTCACACACTGAAACCCTAGCTTCCTATGTGACTGTACTTGGGGATAGGGCCTTAAAGATATTTAATTAAAGTTAAATGAGTTCATAAGCGTGGAACCCTAATCTGATAGAACAATGGTCCTTTTAAGAAGAGGAAACTCCAGAGAGCTCTCCCTCTCCACATACAGAGGAAAGGCCATATGAGGAAACAATGACAAGCCACTTTAATTTTAAATTTCTAGCCTCCAAGAGTATGAGGAAGTAAGTTTCTGTTATTTAACTACCCAATTCATAGTTTGTTTTTTATGGCAACTGAGCAAACCAATCCAACACCCTAGACCAATAAAATCATAATCTCTTGGAGCGGAACACAAATACCAGTATTTTGGAAGCTACCAAGTGTTTTAAAATCTGTACAGAGAAGTTCAGGAACAAATGCCTTATTTAATTTTAACTTGGAACTATGATGTACCTAGGTTTTTCTTCACCATTACTAGATCTGTAGAAAAATAAGAATTGAGACATCTGTAATTTATAGAACCACAACAAAACCTGCCTCAAAAATCATCTGGAATCTTGTTACCCCTGATATGTCCTGAGAAGAGCTGGGTTCCTCTGAAGACCAATTCAGCTTTGCAGAGAATCCAGGCAATATAGATTGTATTTCTGTGTGAGAAGAAATGGCGACAAAAAGAAAAAGCAGTTTGGATAAGCACCAGAGTTTCTGGAATTGTTTATTAAACTGATGAGCCAAGAAGGCATTTCCCTGATGAAAAGATTATCTGCAAAATTTAAAATATGACTGGAAATGGCTATGCATCAGCAAATTGCTTGAACATTTAGAATTACTTTATGGGGTTAAGACTTTTAATCTCAGGTTTTCAATTTTTCACATTTGCTAAATCAATTTGTATTTTCAGTTAATTTCCACAAGGTCATGTCCAAAGCCAGAAATCTTCAGCACTGATAACTCTTATATTCTTGTATTTTTTAATAAAATAATTTATTTAATAAACACAAAGTGAGCTAATTTAGAACTATAGCAGAGAAATTCAAGAATGACCCTCTCAGGCATTTACCTAACACAGTATATTTATTAATAAGGCAGTCTTTAACAAAGTAAAGCAAACTATTGATATTTTAATTCATAAATTAACCACTTGGTATAGTTACATATGTAGACTTAGAACTATCTTTCCACAAAGCGCCAGTGGGTCTTGCATCATCAAAATTTGCATCATGGTTCTTCCTTTCTGTACCTTGGAACTCATAAGGGAAAAAAACAAATCTCCCATTTTATAAAATGCTATCCCTTATTTCCCCTCTACAGTACTATTAAAATAGAGAACTACAAATGAATAAAGATAGCTTGCAGAGACTGCAAGCTCTAACTTGTAAATGAGGTTGACAATATTGATATTATACAAGAATTCAACTTTAAAAACCTATTTACAAAATACATCCTAATAGTGCAACTTTCTCCTACAGCATTCGTATTACATATCTAATAAAGCTTTAACCATCTCAAAAAGTATGAACATTACCAAGATCAAGTACTAGCTATCATTCTTAATGGGTAGTATTTTTCTTACCCTTATTTGTTTTTCAAGTGTATTCAGTCATAAAGCATGGAATAATATGGCTGCAAGGTTACGCTACACTGAAGTTTAGTGAACTTGGCACTGAACCAAGATGCCTTGCATCAATCTTCAGTTTTACCAGTGACCAACTTACTGACCTAAGGTGACTTTCTTTTTACTGTGACTAAATTACCTTTCTGTGAAATATAAAATTTGTTCCTGAATCTTATTTTGTCTTTGAAGCATTTGATACAATGCAGAATGGGGAAAACGTGTAGATATGTGAGAAGAAGCCTTGTTAATAACTAAATTTTGCAGAAATCTTAATAAGAATTTAAATAAAATGTGTAGTGATTTGAGGAAAATCAATTTCAATTGCCTCACTTCATACACAGACACACACACACACACACACACACACACACAATCAAAGTCCAGATGGATTGACTAGAGTTAAATATGAAAAGTAGAATAAAACTAAACAAAAGTCTTCTATTTCAAGGTAAATTGAGCATATGTTAAAACTGCATCTTCCCAAACACATAAAATGATAAAACAGATATTTTAAAGTTTTTATTTCGATTCTAGTTAACACACAGCATAATATTAGTTTCAGGTGTATAATATAGATTCAACCCTTCATACAGCACTCAGTGTTCATTACAACAAGTGCACTCCTTAATCCCCATCACCTATTAAAACAAGTGTTTTTAAAACTTAATAAATACATAGCATGGTGAGAAAGAGAGAGAAATCCTTATAGATCAGAAATGGAGAGGTAAATTTCCCTCATCTTCAGAAAGGAAAAAGAGAATCTATAATAGTAGGTATGGACCGAAGATGCACACCGTATTTGGGGTTTGAACTAGGGAAAAAATATGGGGCTAATACTGCAACAGCCATAGGTTTAAGAGCAAGATCCATACAGGCCACACACATAGGAGATCTAAACAAACATGAACAGAGGCCAGAGATTCACCATCTGCCTACCAGAGAGTTGGTTAGAGCCAAGTGATGCTAGTAAGAGCATCAAGGATGCAGGTTGAGGGCCTTAGAGCTATGTCATATAAGTGGAAATAAGATTCAGAACTATATAATTTCTTAAGATGTAAACGCATTGTATCTTGCCACTTAAGCAAAATTTAATCCTATATTATATAGGATTTATATTACTACATTATATAGGATTTAATCCTACACATATATACATATATATGTACATATACATATATAATCCTATATATGTATATATGTATAATCCCATATATGTAAATATAATATTAAGTTTTGCCATATAAATAAACATAAATCTATATACATATACATATACATAGCTCAGCAACAGAAAACCCCCTACTGGAAACCTGTCAATGCAGGATGTGTTCAAAACAAATAGATGATGGACAATTAACTTTTTTTTAAAATTTATTTATTTATGATAGTCACAGAGAGAGAGAGAGAGGCAGAGACATAGGCAGAGGGAGAAGCAGGCTCCATGCACCGGGAGCCCGATATGGGATTCAATCCCGGGTCTCCAGGATCGCGCCCTGAGCCAAAGGCAGGCGCCAAACCGCTACGCCACCCAGGGATCCCTGGACAATTAACTCTTAACTAAAAGTTACCAACCAGGAATATGGATACAAAGGAACTGTCATGCACTGTTTGTGGGAAAGTAAACTGGTATAGCCACTGTCGAAAAAGAAAAGGGAAAAATTAATTCAAAAAGATATATGTACCCCTATGTTTATTGCAGGATTATTTACAACAGCCAAAATAGGGAAGTGCCCATTGATAGATGAATGAACAAGAAGATGTGGTACAAGCACGCGCGCGCGCACACACACACACACACACACATAGTGGAAGATTACACAGCCATAAAAATCATATCTGGGATCCCCGGGTGGCTCAGCGGTTTAGCGCCTGCCTTTGGTCCAGGGCATGATCCTGGAGTCCCGGGATCGAGTCCCACATCAGGCTCCCTGCATGGAGCCTGCTTCTCCCTCTGCCTGTGTCTCTGCCATTCTCTCTCATGAAAAAATAAATAAAATCTTAAAAAAAGAAGAAAGAAATATTCTCTTCTAAAAAAATAAATAAATAAAATGTAATGTTTAAAAAAATTGTATCTATTTGTAGACAACATGAATGGTATTCTGCTAAGTGAGACAAGTTAGACTGAGAAAGACAAATACCATACGAATTTCACTTATAAGTGGAATCTAAGAAACAAAACATATAAATAAACAAGCAAACAAAAGAATCAGATCTATACTTAACAGAACAAACTGATGGTTGCTAGAGGGGAGGGGGATGGGAGATGGGCAAAATGGGTGGTAGAGAGTTACAGGTTTCTGGTACGGAATGAACAGGTCATGGGAATAAAAGGTTACAGCTTAGCGAGTATAGTCAATGATGTTGTATACTGTTGTATGGTGACAGCTACATTTGTGCTGAGCATGGCATAACATATACACATGTTCAATCACTATACTGTATACATGAAACTAATATAACACTGTGTGTCAACTATACTCAATAAAGTTTTTCAAAAAATAATATACTGCCATCAATTAAACAGAAAGATTAAGGAGGGGAAACCCTGTTATAAATCTTGGAAATTAAAGATACAGTATTTGAAATGAAAATGCTACAGAAGGCATATTAGTAGCTGTAAAAGAACACACTTAAAGGAAAAGGTAGTACCTGAATCTTTCATAGCAGCACAATTCATAGCAGGCAAAAGTGGAAACAACCCAATGTCCATCAATAATATACAGATTAACAAAATATATGATATTCTTCAGCCACAAAAAAAATTATTGTTACATGCTATAAGATGGATGAGTCTGGAAAACATAATGCTTAATGAAAGAAGCCAGGTGCAAAAGGCTACATATTGTATTATTTCATTTATATTTAATGTCCAAAATAGGCAAATCCACAAAGATATTAAGGATTTTAAAAAGACATAAACATTAAAAATTTTAAATAAGAAATACTTGGATATTAACAGATCCAGAATAAGTAATTACTGAGAATTATCATAAAACAAACACAGATGTAAGTACTATTTGAATAAATGTACCAAATGTCAAGCAGGATAAATTTCTTTTAAAAAAGAGGCACGGGAAAAAAAAAAGAGGCACGAAAAAAGTCACACAGCAGAACATATCACAATGAAACCCAGAATAACAAAGATAAAGAGAAAACTGTTGAAACTACAAAAGAGAAGGAAATTATCCCAAAGAAGCATGAATTAGACGTCTCATCAGCAACACTAGAAGCCAGAAGATAAAATTAAGTACTATTGTCAAAGACCAGAAAAAAATTAACTTTCAATCTGGACTTTTAGGAAAATCAAATTACCATTAAAGAATGAGAAACTGCAAATATTTATGTTCTACAAGCTCCTGATGAAAAAGACCTAAATAAACCAAATAAATCAATATAACCACTTAAAAATGACTTTAAATTTGCACCTTTTTGGGGCAACTGGGTGGCTCAGTCAGCTAAGCATCTGCCTTTGACTCAGGTCATGATCCTAGGGTCCTGGGATCAAGCCCTGCATCAAGCTTCCTGTTCAGTGGGGAGTCTGCTTCTCCCTCTGCCTCTCTCCTTGCTCATGTTTTTTCTCTCTCTTTCTCAAATAAATAAAAAAAATCTTAAAAAGAAATTTGCACCTTTTTGCTGAGATAGTGGTGATAAGGAAGAATGAATTATATCATCAACAATATCAAACTATCTCTTCATGCAACTCTTCAACTGTTAAAGTAGAAACATTTCAATCATGTGGCAATGTAAACATACATCAAAACAACATATTGGAACTTCTCTTTCCAGCAATGATGAAATAACAGGTACGAAATCAGCCCTCCCACCAAAGGCTACTATAAAATTGGGTAAAACATATGAGTCAGTTGTTTTCAGGCACTGGATAAGAACACAGGTCTGTGATCCCTGACAGAAGGCAAATTCCTGAAGTGAACCTACAATTGCCCTGGATATCTGCCTATGGAAATTTTCTCATCCACTAGCAGGGACCTAGAGCCCAAACAGACTACAGTGGTTCCAGTAAATTGAGGAGAC